ACTGCTGCTAGGGAAGAGATAACCATCTAGAATGATATGCCAGACAAAGAACAATTGGTCTATTTTAAAAGAAGGGAAGCTCTGAAAAGCATGTTTCAATAAATAATGATTCTTCCAAAAGAGATCATTACACCTACAATTCTATTCTCATAAGCAGTTTGAACCAAGAATAAGATAGGAGGTTTTAGTACTATTTTGAATTCAGCTGCAGTTGTTGTTAAGTGGACCTGTTCATTCTAAAACCTATTGCTGTGCCATGTTATCATTTTCTAGGCAATCCCAGGATCTGTAATTACCTCTGCCAAGAACACATAGTCTTGAAAGTCATGTCTGCTATTCCTGATGAAACTGAAATAAACTAAACAGTCCTGCACCCTGCAATCGTAATTTTAAACAAAAGCAGAGTCATACAGTCTGCTTGAGCATCGTAATGCTTTTATGCATAAATACTGAATGTTCAGAACAGAAAAATGCAGCCCCAGCTGAATCATAAACTAATAAAGCCAACCTACATGTTACTTTGAAGAACATATAATCACCTGCAGGTTAAGGGATAACTTGGCCAGGCAGTGCAATCAAAATATACCCTTCAGTCAGCCCTAACAGCCCAAGAGGGAGCAGGGGAATCACTCTGGCAGGAAGATCCCTGGGGGAACACCATGCAAGGTTTCTGGCTTGCCAAGTGGTTGTGTCTGGCTTCCCACTGCAGCCCTGACCTCCTCCTGACAGCATMGTTTACCTCTTACCTCCACTGCATTTATGCTGCCTCCAACTAACGGGGCTTTTTTCTTATTTATTTTTAAATCCCTCTAAAATCACAAAACTTTTTCAGCCAATAAGGGAGAAAACACACTTTTACCTGTGACTTGTCTGCGGAGTACAAGAATTAAAAGTCGCAAAATAGGAGGGAGGTGGGACAGGTGGGATAAAATCATCAGGATCCAAAATGTGATCTTGGTCTTCAATGGGAGATTCATCCTAATCAAACAAAAGTTGTGTTAAAACCCTTCTGAGCTATAAATATTGCTGAGCTGTGTAAACTAGTAATACTGTTAGTACAACACTTTATGGCAGGCAATGCCTTGTGCTCACTTACTATGCAGGATCTCCTTGATGCAAATATCTGTAAGTAATGCAGGGCAGCTGCTATCAAGCAAACTGCAGCGGTGACAGCATTCAGGGCACTAAGCGTTAAGAGGACTTTCTGAAGAACATGAACATTATTGAAATAAAAAAAATTAAATAATGGTATTTGTAAATGTCAAAACAACAACAACAGCAATAATAAACTAAAACAAATACAGAAAACACGAGGATGACCATGGCAATTACTTCCAAGAAATGTATGGGATGAATTCTTCAGCACAATCTCCAAAACTGGAATAATTTGCAAAAACTTGTTTTACACTATTGTCCTGACAAAGAGATCCACAAAGGTTTCATACAGTTCATATGTGATTTATCCATCTATTTTTCCAAGAGCCATAACCTTCCTCATATCTTTTCTGTGGGAAATCCAGATTCAAGATAATCTGCATTAAAGCTTTGTAAAAGCTTCTTTATATTTGAGGATGGTGTTGGTTGGGAGTCTTTTTTTAGCAGCTTGTAAGCCAAGACAGGCTGAGAAGTGCAAAAGACTAATGAATGAATCAAATCATTGACTAAAATTTACATTATCTTTACCCCTTAATCTTGTCCGGATTCAACTGCAGTTTTGGTTGCACTAAACACAAAAAAAAAGGGAAAGAACTGCTTAGTGGCTCAGCAGCGCACTGGTTGAAAAACAGACATGAAAGAARCCTCCACGTGTTACAGAGCCATGAAGAGTTTCTGACCAGTGAGGAAGAACAGGAAAAATGACAGAATTTTCCACCATAAACACAGCGATCACTTCAGCACGCACTGCTGCATGAGCATGGACATTATAAAAGCAGTCCCAGTGATGTGCATGCAGGGTACCTTGAGAAGAAGGTGAGCAGCACTGCATGACTTCATACGGTWTAGCTTCAGTAAAGCCTCTACTTCCGTGCATTTACTTAGATGTTCTTCACAGCAGAAACAAATCTTCTTTTCATCCATATCCATCTTTAAGAAACAAAACTCCACTTTTTAACTGTTTCATGCAATATTTTTACCTATATTCTGCATAATATAGAACCTATGTCTTAAACTAAATCTGTGACTACAAATCAGACCGGAAATACAGGATCATGTAATTGAACTGTTTGGTACGCTAATGATTCTTGTATTAAAAASCTCTATTATATACACTTCCTATTTGAAAGAAAACATTATGGATAAGGCATTAACACATTTAAATACAACTTAGTTGTAATCAAAGCTGCACTGATTACTAAGCAATTTTATTATCTATGCTCCTTCCAATGAATAGCAGCCTAGAAATTATTTCTGACTGATGTGTAAAGTATTCTGTRTGACCGGTACACATTTTCTTTGGTTCATGAATGCATCTTGAATTCCTGCGATGGAATGAAACACACAACTGCAATTTCAACCCAGTAAAATCATTAATAGCCATAACTGTACACCATTGTTATTTGCAACTTTCATTTTCAAACCAATCTTGTCATCTTAGTTTTTAAAGTAGAAAGTCAATGTTAACCCAGGAATAATTGGGTTTTTAACTGTCAAATCCAAGAGTCACAACATGGACACTCTGCGACCTGCAGAAGYCATCCTACAAAGTAATTAATGATTTCAGGAATGCCTTTTGGCKGTACCATACACTTCCAACCACAGAGAGCTCAGAAACTCCTGCAACATTTGACCACTTCATCTGGAATAACTATTAATTCTCGGTGTGGCTTTGGTACAGTGATCCTGGGTGAATCTAGATTGCCAAGGGTTTATAATCTTGGACTCTCACCACAATACACCCTTTGGCATGTCAAGGAACCAACACCAGTGTTCCTGAAGCAATAAAASAATGAAATTAGATATTCAGATCTGTCCATTAACCCACAGTCCTTCAAGCTTTTACACACAATCAGCTTCATCACCAAGTGACCCTGTACTGTATCTTTAAATTTCAATTACACCACAGTTTCTGATTCCTAAGTAGTGATTTTTCTATTTCTCATGACAACCACTTGAGAAAAACCTTTTGCATTCTGTCCTGTMTTGTACAGACTGCTTCTTCCTCAAGTAGAAGCATTCTGAAAAGTTGGTAAGGTTTATTCGACTTTATTTTCTTCCTCACAGCTTCCGCTGCAGGACATCAACGCAAATGGTCCTCATCAGGTGAGGCAAAACAGGAGGAATGATCCCACCCACAGATTACAACAGACTGAACCTTTTGTAGGTAGCTAAACATTACCCACAACTCAGGCTTTTTTCAACAGCTTCTATTTGTTGCATTGCTACAMAAATCCTTTATGCTAGTTCTTAAATTACTTGCAACTCTACAACAGGACATTTTGTGATCTCAGCACTGCAAACTAACAAGCCGTAATGAGAAGAAACTGGTGTAAATCAGTATGTGTGCTCACCAAATTGCATCTGGGTACCCCGGACACAAACTGAAAGCCTTGACATGCTAATATTAATCCAGTCAAGTTCAGCAGAACACAGATCACAGACAGCAAAACGAACAGGTTAACCTGGAACAGCAAAACAAAGTTAACTGCAGTGAGCAYAGGAACACAACTCAAGGAACCTATGACAGTGCAAACCCCACTCACAATCTGAAGCTGGGAATGACACTTCGCTCTTTTTCAAAACTGCCCACTACTTCAGTGCCCCAAGGTGTCTTAATCTAGTCCCAAAAATTTTTGTCTTCTCTCTCCTTATTCTGCACTAGTGGTGCAAAAATAAAATATAGACAACTATTGAAAATGTCAACAGTAACAGTACAGGCAGCTAAATGTTTTCCTGGAGTGCAAAGTATGATCTGCAAGGTGCCCAACTTCCACTGTGTGTCATACTCTTCCACCAAGTTTAGCTCTCAACACATTCAGAACAGTAAAGAAATCTGAAAACAATGAAASATCTTAAGCCAATATTCACTCTGCACAGGATTTCCAGAATTATTTTTCAGCACAAATAAATGAAAAATATTTTTCCCGGTACAGTGAGGTAACTTAAGAGACTTTAGCTAAATTATTTCCTCCTGGCTACTTAACCCAGAACATCTGTAAATCAGATAATACCTTCAGATTTGCAAACCACCTGAAATCAAGCCATGGAAAGAGAAGTAAAATATCTGAAAAAAGGGCAAGCACAAGCAGTGGATAAAATGATGTCTTGCTTTCACCTATGCCYTAACAATCTGTGCTTAAATGACTTGGGATATGGATTTTGAACATATGGAAGAACTGCCCCTGTCCCTATTCATACAGGTAAAATGCTTCTGTACTTCAGGAAAAAGTACTATGAGAAGGACTACTACTTTAAAGACAAATAAAAATAAGATTMATCCTTGAAGCAAAACAGAAGAACCCTTGTTAGTAACAATCTGTTCATTCAGATTTCTTACAAAGGCAGGACATGACAAAAAGAAACAGAGGAAGAGAAAGTCACTATGAGGGACCTGAGCTCAGTTCTGCCCCAGACAGCCTTACAGGAGATCTGGCAATAAGGACTTCCTAAACATGCACAAAGAACACCAGGGCTTTCCAAATAAATTTAGCTGATGTACCATGGTTAGCTACCTGGAAGCTGAATCAGAAATAGGTAACAGCTGTTGCACAAATTATGTTCCCATTTTCTGAGGTTCAGGGAAATAATGAATGGACAAGAGCCAAAGATCTTCACCATGCAAGCTAAATTTGTCAATTACATCATTACTAGTCATTACTAGTTTCATCACAACTTTATCCTGTAAGGTAGATTTTAAGCCCAAAAACCCCAATAACTGAAGTACTTATTAGTAAATCTCTGAAGACTGGGACTACTGTGTGTCAGACATACTAAGAACAAAATAATTCATAAATTATTAAGAGGAACAGTACTTTGTCCTAGCTTTGCAATAAACACGAAGCCACAGATAAGAGGGTTTTAGTTCTAGAGAGCACTCTGAGTGTCACTTGTTTTTCCACATAAACACAGAATCTCATGACTTTTTTTTAATTAACTCCCTGCTCAGCATGCAAATGAATCAAACCCATTTCTTATGCTTTTATCTGAATTATCTTGTTTACTCTTTTGACAAGAACAACTTTGAGAAAATTGGTACACAAAGGTATTTCATATAAAGAAAATTTTTCAACTTGGTTCAAACAGGAATTAGCCAGTTCTTTAAGTGAAATAGAAGCTGTTTCAACATAAAAAATATTTATAGTACAAATTTCATTAAATGATATTAAGAAAAACAAGAGATATATTTGTCCTCTTTCAACTGATGAAGAAACGAAGAAGTCATGTGGCCAAAGCAGAGAAACATTAAAAGAAGAAAAAAAAAAAGGCAGCAAATTCTTATTTAAGTTGTCTCCTTTGGTATACAAGATGCAATAGAAACAATTCCATCTATAGCATACAAAAAAATTAGCTAAAATCCAGACTTCCAACCCAAAACTTTGGGGAAAAAAAACCCTGCAAATATTTTTCTAAAGAAACATGTTAGAAATCAAAGGACAAATCAGAGAAGGAACATTATTATAAATATGYGAAACGAGGATGATAATTTCTGGATTTATRTTCTAATAAAATCTACCCTAAGTATAATCTTGATCTGGTTTTTATTATATGTACAGTCTATTTTTGACTGAATAATTTAATACTCAGAAAATCCTGCCAAATAAGCAGAAAATAACAATAATTCTTCTTCATGCAACCTAAAACACTAACCTGATTTGAACCACAAACACAAAATTATTTACTATGCATCTGACAGTGAACCGTACATTGTACTCGACTGCCAAGAGAAAAAATTCCTTTTCTTTCTGTTCCATCACTGGTTACCATTTTTACACAATCACTGAGACTGGAAGGAACCTCTTGAGAACATCTACGTCCAACCTCCTGCTCAAGCAGCTGTCACAACAGAAGGGCTGGAACTGTCAGATCCCTTCCAATCCAGACCATTCCATAATTTTATGACATACAGCGGGCTATCGAATATAACACCTGGTTGATTTTTGACTGTCTCTACAGGTAACTGACACCAGTTTTTGACCATCRTAACAGTAAAAAAAGTCATCTTTTGTGTTCAGATGGAACTTCCTATTTTCTCTACTGAGCTTACAGCCTCTGTTCAGTCAATGAGCACTACTGAGAAAGATCCAGCTCCTTATTCTTCACTCCCTCCCATCAGCTATTTATAGAGATACAGGAGACTCACATTCTCTTCTCCAGGCTGAACAGGCACAGCTCTCACACCTCTCCCAGTGCAGGAAAGAACACATCACTTGACATTTTGGCAAATCTCTGCTTGSTCCAGGACTCCACTAGTGCTCTTTGCCAAAAGAGCTGTCTCATGGACTGCTTGTTGCCCCCAAGTTTTTCTCTGCAGAGCTACTCTTCAATATGTTGTTTCCTTCTGTGTACTAGGGAAATTTCCCTGCACAGGCAGGACTTTTTAGAACCTGTCCAGGTCCTTCTGAATGGCCATATTTGGTGTATCAGCCATTCCACTCACCTGTGAACTTGCTCTCGGATCCACTGTGCACTCAAGTAGTACACGCCYCTGTTTCCACCCCTGGGCTCAACACTGCTAGCTGGCCCTCAACTGTTTTTGCCGTTTGCCACTTGTCACAACCCTCTGTTGTCCACTTACTCAGTCACTCACTGTCCAGTCTAACATGTATTCTGTCAGCTTATTTTGTCACTTCCATTCTCCTGCAGATGCAAATTTAAACATCTTCTCCATCACTACTCACCTACAAGTAAAAACAGGTGTTACACTTTATCCCAGTGACAGAAGATCCTGTCCARTGGAGAGAAGTAGTTCTCAATGTAGGAAAAAAACAGAGAAAGGCGAACATGTACTTTAGAAGCCAAACAGGTATTTTAAAAGCCAGAGGTAACTGGTCTTAATGCAGTTATAAAAATGGAAACAACTGAAATTATGGCTTTAGCTTGGCYCACAGCTTCATCTTTAGAGCATTAGATACACATGGACTGCAAACAGATGCAGAAAGTCACAAGGAACCTTCATATGAATTAAACTACATGAAAGAAAGCAAAGTGTATTCTATTCATATTTGCTAATGACTTGAATGGATTATCTCTTCCAGGCAAAAAAGTATCATAACACTCTTTGAGGACTCCAAGGAAGAACAAATTTGCATAGTAAAGCTCTGAACACTATCTCTCACTCTGTATGGAGAAGCTGCTTGTTATCCTGCTGCTGCCATTGAAACAAATATCTAATGCCAGAGAGGAACTGCTTTTCACTTGAATATGCAAGGACACACAACAGGACTGATGCCTTAAATGGAGGCACTGAAATGAAAGMAAAAAGTAACTTGTTTCACAATCATCAACTCTTACACCTGTCATCAACTCTTATATCTATTTACAGCCTATATAAATACTTTATAAACATCCTGTAGCTAAAAGTAAGTCCATTTATTAATTGTYCATACGCACAGCAGCAACAGCAATAATTAAAATTCATAGTTGTGAGAGCTATTTATTGTGGAGACCATATGGAGACACACAATACAACTGTCAACAAAGGGAAGCCCCACAAAAAAAGACAAATTAATTAATTTCATTTTAAAAGTCACATATTTCAAATGCAGCACTAAAACACGCTATGTATGAGAGAGGCATAAAAATTGTTATAAGCCTCCAACGCTTTTCCTACTCTCAAAAGCTTATTTCTATTTGCTTACACTGACTTAAAAACCTTTGCATAATTACTGCTTCCTGACTAAATGCTGAAGTCCTGCATGTGAGCAAAGCAGTTAACATTAAGCTATTTTACTTCTAAAATCCAGGGAGAAAAGGTACTACTGCAATACTTCTCACAAGTCAAATGACTGCTTACTATAAAGCATGGGGATATGGAGAGACTATCCCTGTTTTTAAGGGACTTAATCAGGGACTTGATATGCAGCTTCTGTTCACAGTGCTTTACACTGTTACCAGCATAGCTAAAATTTAAAAGYGTCACTGGAACTGAGTATACATTCAATTTTGGTTAAATTCATTAAAATCTGTCAAGGTGCAGCTATCATAGCAGCAGCCAGTCCTAAGAAATCTTTATTTAAAGTCTTCTGGAACATATTTCTCTTTGGATAAAAATTTTCAACTTAAACAACTTTTTAAACAAGGTTTACCATTAATAAATTCTTCCAAAATTTTCAACGTTATAAGTAAAGGCTTAATTCCATAAACTTTTCTGTTTTCAAAGTAAGATCTGTACATTTTTTTTCATAAATTAAAAATATCAACACTTTTAAATAAAGTGTTTCTAATAAAAATCTCAAATCCTTATGTTACCACACTTGAACACAAGAAGTATCCAGACTGAACGCTTCATGCTGCACATGTGACTCTGACTTTTCTGTCAAACCCCGCAAAGCTTTACATTAAAAAAGATGACATGTATGAACACAAAACCTGCCATGCTGGCAAACAGAAGCATACAGCACTTGATGTAGCTGAAGCTAGAGTTGCATTCAAGCAGCCTCGTGTTCTGTTGGCTTCTTGAACCCATGCCTTTTGCAGTACCAAACTGCTCCTGCAACTCGCAGCTGCAGCAGTTAAATCTACACAGCGTAACAGACTGGTGTCTTGTTGGATGCTGGCACTTCTTTCCCTTTCATTCAATCACAGCTGAGCCTCCTCATTAGCAGCAGAACCCAAGCACCAGACACCAGAGAAATACTTAACTTGAAGCCTTTAGCTCAGCTGGTGAGAAAAACCCTAAAACCACAAACACAATCAGAGTCACCTAAAAAGGACTCTACAGGATTGCAACTAATTTGTATGCAACTGGAAGGAAAGGAAAGGGCTTCTGCATTCAGTAAGGCATGTACGGCTCCTGGCAACTCCTGGGAATGCAACTTAAACTCACATTAGTCCAAACTGGCATAAAAGGACAGACAGAGGCTATAGCGGCAAGCATGACCTGTCAGATGAGAGTTGCCCTCAAAACTAACACTGGAGAACTGATGTACTTTCTGAAAGAATTTAGGTTCCTTCAGCTGAAAATAAGATTTAAAGCCGTATGAAGGAAGAAGCTTAAGAGGAGAGAGGAAGGAACCAGATTCTGTATGTGGAAGGTAACATGGAGCCTGGMACAGTTCAGAGTCAATACCCAAGTGACTCGAAGGGACACATGGTGAYGATGATGGAAAGTTTCTCTTTCCCCAGTAAATACATTTGGACAGCCCTGAAGGAGAAGTAACATAGGATCATTAACATATCAAGATCATCAATTCCAATGTCAACCCAGCCCCACCTCCAACAAAACTCAGCTTCAAACCACAAGGATTACAAGGTGACTTCCAAAGGTGATTGACAACTAATAACCAGAACAGAAATTCCTCAAACATCTGAAACCAAGGAAGGATTTCAGAGCCCAAACTTCTCAGCAGCTGTAGTGTTCAAGACTAAGCCTCTCTTGCAAAAATGTCCTTCAAAAGATACGACTGTARCCTGATTTTGCCTTGAAGTACCCTGTCTGACAGATACATTATTTATCTAGTACTGTCCCACACTGTTAACGCAGCTGTAATACAGCGTGGGTGGCTAAACCCAAATACAGCTCTCCATTTTATTTACTAACAGSTCTTATCACAGCCATCCCTCTTAAYGGCTGTTTCTTCACAGATGGTGCTACTAAAGGCCCACATCTGTAATCTATGTGTTTCCCTCCCTTTCTCCCCTCCAAGTGAAAAACAGGAGTGGTTGAACCACTCCAGCCACCCCCCAGCTTCTTTCTCACAGCACTGCAGCCCTGTGTTTTCTGCAAGCATCAGCAGCACCAGAATCTTGCTATCACAAAAAAATCCAACAGTCTGGTTGCTCTTGTCCATGACCAAGGCCTTGGATTGAAGTGGCAGCCCTAAGACAGCCTGACCCTTCACAAAAACCCAAACATAGATACAGAGAAACCATTACTGGGAGTGCTAAGGTCTTACATAAGGAGTTAAAAGTGGAGGACAGTCTAAAGCCCTAAAAAAGGGCTTTGTTTTAGTTCTGAATGAGTTTTATGGTCTTACTTATAATATCACAATCCCAAGTCATGACTGTGTAATGATTCTCATTGCTGAGACATTTAGGAAGCTCACTTTTGCAATTCATGTAATTGTGCACTCTTCCTAACTCCCTAGAAAAAATGTTCAAGTTACTAGAGAGTAGACATAATAGATATTTAGGCCAACATAAATATGTTCACAGAAACTAACAGTCTGTCCTTGACAGACTGCAGCTAGTTTAAAGCATGATTTCTTTATCTTCACGCAGAGTTCAATGTTAATTTCTTTTTTTTTTTTTTTTTCTTTTTTTCAGTAGAATAGAATATTTCAGTTTGAAGGGAATTATAACAGTAGTTCAACTGTCTGGCCACTTTGGGGCTCACCAAAAATCGAAGCCAAATTTAAGTGCATTGTCCAAATGCCTCTTCGACAGCTTGGAGCACCAACCACCTCTCYAGAAGCCTGTTTCAGGGTTCCAGGGTTTGACCGCTCTTTCAGCAGAAATGCTTCCCAGTGCCAAGGCTGATCTAATCTGGCTGTCAAAAATCAAACCACTACAGAACACACATATAAATAAGAAAAAAAAGRCAAACGGTTTCATAGAAACACAAATCATAGAATAACTGTGGCTGTAAAGAGAGCTCAGGACGATTCCTGTGTATTCTCTCGCTCAAAAGGAGGATCAGCTACGAAATCATGGCACACTTCTCACAGCTTTAATCAATAATTTCATGTCAGAAACTTTCACACCCACTGCATGATATCCCAGGGCAATCTCCTTCAGTATGTGACCACCCTAAAGATCATCCAATATAAAACAAAGGATCAAGAAGAGCTTGGTGCTCTCTATTTAAGTAAAATTAGGAAAAGAAAACAAGGTTTATACAAAAGAGAATGCCAAAGAGTGAAAGAGCAACAACAGACAAAAGGAAACTACTGAAACATTCTATAGAAACAGCACAGAACACAGGCAATACAGACACAGGAGTGTCTGAGCACACAGGAGTACACACAACTGTGCAAGCCTTAGGCAGGTTGAGACTTATAGCATGTACATTTATCTTGATGAAAATATGGCCCTTCCAGGTTAGGGGTCTTCAACACCACACTCCTCTCTATATCCACAAAACTCCTAAAAAAATTGCCATGTAAACCAATGGACACTGAGAARTAACTGTGTTGGGGTCCTGGTCAACAGCCAGCTGAACAAAAGCCAGCAATGTGCCCAGGTGGCACCCTGGTCTGTATCAAGGCAGCATGGCCAGCAGGAGCAGGGCAGTGGTCACACCCCTGTACTGGGCACTGCTGAGGCCACAGCTGCAGTCCGTGCTCAGTGCGGGTCCCTCACTGTAAAAAGGACACGGAGGGGCTGAGCGTGGCAGCCAAGGGCAGTGAGGCTCATAAGAGGAGCACACAATATCTCCCCAGGGGACAACTCGGGGAGATATTGTGTGCTCAGCCTCCAGAACAGGAGGCTCAGGGGGGACCTCATCGCTTTCTGCACTCCCTGAAAGGAGCTGTGGTGAGGTGGGGCCGCTCTCTGCTGCTGTGCCTGCAGCGAGAGGACAAGAGGAGATGGCCTTAAGCTGGGGCAGGGGAGATTCAGATCAGATATCAGAAAAGGCTTTTTCACTGTCAGGGTGCTCATGCACCGGAATGGGCTGCCCAGGGAGGTGGTGGGGTCACCATCCATAGACATGTTCAAGAGACATCTGGATCTGGCATTGGGGGATGCAGTTCAGGGGTTTAGGGCAGTGCTGGATTAACAGCTGGACTGGATGATCTCAAATCTCTCTTCCAGCCTTGGTGAATCTATCATTCTATGACTATATCCTCAGCTCACATATTTAATCCTTGCTACTCCTCACTGATATCCGTGTGGRTCCCAAAGAAATGCTGCATAAAAAGGAAATAACTGCCCTGGTCTGGAAAAAGTCTTCAGAAGCGACAGTAAGGCAAAAAATTTCAAACAAAAAAAAAACCCAAATCAATCAACCAAAGYAAAAAAACTCCCTAAACCCACACACAAACAAAAGCAACTGCAAAACTTTTTTTTCAAATCCCAGCTCTGAGACATTAAGAGCCACACAGCTTCAGATTTCACTTACAGGCGGAAACAGCTTACGCACCCTGCAAATCAATCTACTTCTCTCACAGCAATGCAATGTCAAGTACATATGAAACTAGCACTGGATCCTACTGTAAGGTGTTCAGTTTCCTCTAAACCCTGTCAAAAACTAAAACACTACAACTAAGCTATGATTTAAAACCATCTCCTTCATTTCAGTTTAAGCTGCACAGCCTCAGACAACTAAATTTATTCTAAGCCAGAATTTTCTTATGCAAAAACATAACATTTGTTCTTTAAATAACATTAACAGTTCTTCCAGACATGGTCCATGCATGTCCTTACTGGGGACTTCACCCTGCAGGAAAGCATATKGCTTTTCATGGTCTTTGACTCCTCTTTCAATAATTTTGATTCTACAAATTGAAAAGAAAGACTCAACATTATTTTTTTAAAAAATGGAAATTAATTTTTTACCAATGACTCTTAAATTAGGGTCATTTTTTTATCAAATCCTTACAAACTTTAATTCATACTTACCAAAACCATCATTGGCCTCTTCCATGTTGTTAACCCTAAGATTCCACATAAGATTGCCTACAACGCCAAAAAACATAGTGTCACCAAGAAGCAAGCAACTGTTCAAAAAATGACATTTATATGGTTTTTATTACTGTTCTTATGRATGGTACTTTGGAACAGTACAGCAATGCTGGRAAGATATGAAGATGCACTTTAGAGYAGAAAAATACCTGGGCTGATGAGCCTTTTCACTCTTAACAGCATCCTGTGAAATAACATTCAAATTTAAATCTGCTCTTTTCTTATTTTTTCCTTCCAGAAAATATGGGGACAAGGAGTATGTCAGCAACTCCAACCTTCATGCTTCCCCTACATAACTGCTTTCAGCCAATTAAGTACTTGTTCTCTGCACTATGGCTAAGTAAATGTAAAACTGTGTCTCCCCCTTGATCGCCATCTTAGCACTTATTAAGTGCCTATTTCWTTTTTCCCTTTTGCAGACTTCTGACCATTTCTGACTTCTGAACGACCGAAATCAATAAAGAGCACCAGCACTACCTCCCTGAAATGATTTGCTATATAATCAGATGAATGCCAGTATCAGAAGGAGAAAAGAAGTTAAAATAAAAAGCACATCCTTCTGCAACAGCAGTTGTTAGACCAAACTTGCTGAATTATAGAATCAAACCCTAGAATTCTTTCTTTACCTTACAGAGCAAAACAACTAAGATTAAGAATTATCTTAAAGAACTTTTATAGAACTGAAACGAAGAGCAAACCCAAATATTCTCTCATAGAAGAATGGCAACCTTGTAAGAAAGACAAAACAGTTTCCCAGCACATCCCATAAATTGCAAGATATACTTTTAACTCATTGGACTTTGTGACTAAGCCAGCYGACATGAAGCTCTTACCCTAAAAAGAAACAGGGAGACTGGAACAAGCAGGAAGTCATCTACCAGTATTTTTAATAAATCCCTTCTGTAACTTCATTCACTTCACATGATCAATCTAATCTAGCGTAACGAGCATATATGACTTGGCCAAAACACCTACTGATATCATCACTAGTGTTGCAAAACCACATACATAACTCTGCAGTTTCATAACAAAGTGATTTTTTTTAATTCTCTGACTGCAAAATGGACACAGGATTTTATAACAAAGCTCATCAATACTGATGAAAAGTGCTTTTTCTTTTTTCTTAAGGACAACAAATTCATTTAATTACATCTGTTAAAGATAGGAAATCAAAGTCTTTCTCAAAGTTTTCCTGACCTGCCCCTCACAAGTCAGCATGTTGCATCCATAATGAAAAGAAAACCAAACCAAAAAACAGCCAACCAAACACATTAATCCTAGCTTTAATGGGATCTACTTTTCCCCTCACCCCCCAAGGATCGTGTACTTTCAGGGATGAACACTGCATTATACAGATACAGAGGAACTACCTGGTCCCCGAACTACTGCACTGAGCACATTTCCACAGATGCTGAACAACACCGGCGATTTAATTTAAATGTTATAAGCGAGGCTGCTGCTGTTCACACATGCAGCAGGAGCTGAGCGTTCCAGCCCACAACACGACTTGCTGATTGCTGGAGGGCCCACAAACAGGGACCAATCAACCTGACTCTCCTACACTCACTAACTTCTGCTTACTACTGCCTGGCTTCTGCAATCCAAACTCTCGTGTGTACTCCGTATCTATAAAGTTGTGCTTTAAAGCAGAGCCCAAGAGGAGATGGAATAACTTCTCTCAGTACTCTTTACAAAACCGTCCTAAGTCAATGAATATTTTTCTCCAGGAACACTGCTGATTTACCTCTACCTTATGCCTATGAGTAAAGGCATAAAACACAAAAGGCAACATACAACATCTACATACACAATGACTTTTGAAAATCCTGTTTCTGATAGCGCAAAATAACCGAGTACCTTGGGGGTTTTTTGCAAAAACGCAAGTCAGTAAATAAAYCCCTACTTGTTTGTCTCTATGTGTGTTACCCCGTTGGTGTCCTGCAGACATCCTACAAAACTGTCAGCTAACAGCTTCCAAGCAGCCAGTTTCCAAGCGATGCGGAGGAGCGGGATCCCGCATCCCTCGGGGACAGCCGCCCCGCAGGTCCCGCGCCCTCACGGCYGGACCCCGCATGGCGTGTCCCGGCCGCGGCCGTCACTTACCGAGGAGCCGGCCCAGAGGGGACACGCGTTCTTCACCTGCGGGGCGCTGCTCAGCCACAGCGCCCCGAAGCTCAGCACCACCAGGGCGCAGCCCAGGCCCGTCTGCAGCAGCCCCAGCCCGAGCAGCGGGCGGGCGGGCAGCGCGACCGGGGGGCACGGGCGGCGGCGCGGCGGCAAGCCCGGGCGGAGGGGCGGCGGCGACAGGCCGGTGGCCACGGCCGACAGCGAACCCGCCGCCGCCTGGGGCAGCGGGACGAGTCCCGGGAGAGGGCAGCAGGAGCCCGGCAGCACCATCGGCGGCGACACGGGGGGTGCCGGCAGCGGCTCTCAGCGGGCGGCCGCTGCGGACGGCGGGCCGAGCCGGGCCGGGCGGGGCTGCCCCGCCGCCGCCCCCGTGCCAGCCCCCTCGGGAGCCGACTTCCTGCGGCGCTGTCGCCGCCTCGCCTCCCGTCCTGGCTCTCCTCTGCTCCGCGGCGGGGAACACCGACCCTGGCCGTGCCCTCAGCGCCAGGCGGGGCTGCCCCCGGGCCCGCGCCGTGCCCGGCACAAGGTGCTTCGCCAAAGCTCCGATGCCGCCCCCGACTCTAGTGGACTCCGAGCCATCCTTCCCGTCCCGGCTCTCCCCGCTGGTGCTGCTGAAGCCGTTCTGCAACAGCCTTGGAGGGTTTTATGCCCCCCAACCCCTCTTGTTACTGTGGACCCTCACTTTGCTCTTCTTTGCCCATTTATCCTGGCCACTGGTGCTGCCGAGCCTGAAGCTTTAACTCTTTACTGGGAGGAGGGTGGGGGACGCCATTGCATTGTATTTCTCATGGTTGGCGCCCAGCCCGACGAGAGGACGAGGTTTGGCAGACGGCACGGAGTGTGTCCTGTGTGTGCGTGAGCGTCCCTGGGCCCTTGCCGATGCCATCTTGTCTGAGACAAGGGCAGAGGCATCTTTGCCCGATAATTTTCATATCGTTCCTCTCTCCCCTCCCTGCCTACTCTCCTCCAGTACTGTTCCTCCGTGTTGTCCCTGGACAATGTTGCCGTACCCTTTGTCTGTCAGTTTCCACTTCATGCTCTCCAAGGAAGGAGGCTCTGGAATTTATTTCAACCGTGAGTTCTGCTCTCCAGCCCAGCCAAAGCAATTTTACACCCTTTAGTTGAAGAATTTTTTTCTAATATATACCTCCCCTGACACAACTTCAGGCCGTTCCCTCCGATMCTGTCACTGGTCTCCACAGAGAGATCAGTTCCTGCCCCTCCTTTTCCCCTGACAAAGAGGTTGTAAATTACGATGAGGTCTCCCCTCAGACTCCTTTGTTTCAGGCTGAACAGACCAAAGGACTTCAGCCACTCCTTATAAGGATTCTCCTTAAGGCCCTTCACYGTCTTCGTGGCCCTCCTTTGGACACTCGTTAATTGTTTTACATCTTTTTGTGGTGCCCAAAACTGCCTAGATCTGAGGCGGCCCGAGGTCAGAGCAGAGCGGGACAATCCCCTCCCATGCCCGGCTGGCGATGCTGGGCCTGATGTCCCTCAGGACACGGGTGGCCCTCCTGGCTGCCAGGGCACTGCTGGCTCATGGTCAACTCACCATAAACCAGGACACCAGGTCCCTTTCTGTGGCGCTGCTCTCCAGCCTCTTGTTCCCCGTAAGAAAAAATAGAGCTGCAAAAAAAGAGCTGATTTGTCTTGATGGGGAGAAACATATTGCTGCTCATACAGCTGCTCCAAGTGAACCGTTGTAATTTCCATTCTGTGAAAGTAGCGTGTTTTCCATTCCTACTTTCCTACTAAAGTGAAGTTATTTAAGGTTAATGCTGACTTGTTCTCCTTTATCRCTCTCTACATGGTTTGTGACATAACTCTTTAATGTTATTCTTTACTCTCGTTTATCCTTGTTTATTTTTAAATATTTGTTCTAACAGAGGGAAGAAATATTTCTAATACAGCTAATCACTGCTAGTAATTCTATGTACTCTAGATTTACTTGTCAGCTGGTTTGTTTGTATCATGATCATTAAGATGCTGATGTGTGGCTAGAAAAAAACAGCTTTTGTATTTTTATTAGTGAGAGTTCATGGCAGTGTGTTTATTTCTCCTTAAATATACAGAAACATACGTTCAAATTCAGTGAAGAATTCATTTACATGCTATCCAAAAATGCAGGATTGTATTAAGTGAAAAGTATTATCAAAATAATTCTTCAGCTGTGAGAACATTTTCTATAATTATTTTTAGGGTTTTTTTCTGTAAACACTGCATTTGAGCAGGAWTTTGTCCATTTTATTCATATGCAGATAACGTGGATCTCTATAAAGTCATAGTGGGCCCTACATTTGTTCCTTTTTTGGTTTCTTCGAAGCCCTGGCTGTAGGACTCCTGTTAAACCTTTTAGCCAGCTCTGGCAGGAAGGGGGTGATGACAGTTTACTTTCCTCTAGCAAGGAGGAATTGTGTGCTCCTTGTTCCTATTAGGATCAAGGTGTTATGTTGCCTTTGAGTGTGCAAGAAACACTCCCATTCAGGAGGGATAATACAATACTTGTCTGGAACTTCCACTTATGCTTTTAAACATAATCGGAAAATAAAATACAAGGAGAAGGCATTTAATAGCAATACGTACACTTTCACTGAAGATCCCATTTTTTGAGGATATTTAAGCACTTGGTTGGAAYACCATATTTGGAATGCCAGAGGTGCCAAGTGTCCTTAAAAATACGTCCTTTTGCGTCACATTAATGCTTCTGAACAAAGTGCATGTCCAGAACTGTGAAGCAGCCAGCAGACAGGTGCTGTTTTCTTTCTGCACTGCAGTTCACCCTTCTGCAATTGCTTACCTGTCCTCACTGACTACCCATAAAAAGGAACTTTCCTGCTCTGAAGTTTCTCATTGGGTGGACTGCCTGCCAGAACARCTGAGTTTAGGAGCAGCTCTTTCATGATCTAGTCTAATTGTCTTGAAAAGTTACTCTGCTTACTGGCTTCACCCTACCATATACTGGAAATACCTCTTTATATACATGCTTCCTTGATGTCAAGCTCACTGCCCCATCTGTGTTTCTTTTTAAGCTGTTTGCATATGAAAGTGAATGCTTTCTTTTTTCCTGCTTTACTAGATGGTTTTCATGGAAGCCCCTGGGGTTTCTGTGAAATCTACTGCAGAGCTGCCAGTAGGGCAATATCTGAGATTCCAGTATCTGAGGATTGTAGTTCTTCACTGCGTGCATCAAATAACTTAAAGACATCGTTTTTGTTTTGGAGACAGCAGTAACTTGACATGCTAGACATGTCTGCCATARTTGTCTGTGCTTCTGTTAGTGCTCCTATAGCCTTCCTTATCATGGCTTTTCCTTCTGTGGCTCTAATTTACCAAGCAAAAAAAAACCTCCTTTTTCTCTTTCAAAGGTTTCTCTCTTCCCTAAATGGAAATACTTTCTATCAAGAAGGCCATTGGACAGTTCTGGAGAATCAGTCAGGGGCTCGAATGAGAAGGGTCTTCAATGAAGCACATTCCTTCATGAAAAGTTCAACTCTTCAAGGAGCCTCAAAAACACCATTTTCTTTTGCCAGAGTAAATCTTCTCTGAGAGAGTGCTGTGACCAGCCATGGAGCTCTGGTTATCCCTAAGTGGTGTTTGGATGCAGAGAAATTGTGCTCTGAAGCTCCCTGGCCTGTTTCTCCARAAACCTTTCTGACCAGGGTGGCTGCAGGGCCCCTCCTCTCCCCTCAGATGCAGATAAAATGCGATGCAGGGAACAATGTGGTCATGCCAGGCACCGGCACAGGCACAAGCAGCCTTGATGGTGCATGTTCTCCTTTGCAAATGCAGTGCTCCTTTTTCATGCTTTTTTTGAAACACTTCCATTGCTGTGGCTGCGGTAGGAATTCCTGTGGGAGGCACTGCCATATCACATTGGATCTCCGGGGCCCTTGGCTGGTGAGGGTGCACAGGATCAGGGAACTATAGTAAAAGAAGGGAGAGAAAACACCATTCAGAGACTTTATCAGGGATAAAGCAATTTGTTTATTTATTTTTTAATGGAGACTTAATGCAGCCCTGCTACTGCTCCTGATTGGGTGGCCTTTTGTGGGGCTGTGGAGAGTCCAGGTGGCTACTAGCCCTCCTTCTTGTGGAACGCCGAGGTCTCCTGGGCAAGGGGTCTCTGCTACAGCTGGGGGCAGAGGGGCTGTGGCTGTCACCTTGGGCAGAGGGACCTGCCGTGGCTGCTGGCTCCAGCTCCTCCTGCTCTGCAGGGACGGGATCAGATGGGTGGAGGGTATGGAGGACAGCTTGTGATGTGCTGGGCTGATCATCCATGATGGAGTCTGCAGAGCTGCTGGCAAGGGTTGTCTGTGTGGCAAGATTATCCTCTTGAGGGCTGATGGAGATGGTTGAAGTCCTGTTGCCCTCCCTGGCAGGTTCCTCTGCCACCGCTTCCTCCCCCAGCTCCTCCTCCTCTGCAGCGGTGGGAGCAGATTGGTAGAGGGTGTGGAGGACAGCTTCCGATGTGCTGGGCTGGTCCTCTGTGCTGGATTCTGTAGGACTGTTCGCAGGGGTTGAGTGGAGTCCGCTGGAGATGGCAGGATTGTTCTCTGAGACATCAGAGGAGTTTAGAAGCCTTTGAGCATCCTCTCTGCACTGGCTCACAATGACGTCGATGATGCCATGGATTAGAGATTCTGTATGTTCCTCAAAGAAATCTTCCAGCACTTGGACCAAGACATTCCTGGCTGGACCACAGAGGGACACAGCATGCAGGATAACACTCTCCCCAACCCTTGCCATCCACCACCTAGTTCCATACTTTGCCTGCAGCTCGCGGCGCAGCCAGTGCACCACAGGATCAAGGAGATGCTCTTCTCTTTGGAAAAGGTCTGCCCACTCACTAGGCAGGAGGCCACCCACAGGCTCTGTTCCTGCAGCCCCCTGCTCTGCTATGGGTAGTATCCTCCGTGGAGAATGTGAAGTGGCCTGCACAAACTGACAKGGGCTGTTTTTAACCAGGAATCCTAATGTTATTCCTGTCCGGCTGCTGGCATTTTCTGACTCTTCGGAACTTGTGAAGACACAGTCTATATGGCTATCTGTCTGCACAGAAAACCTGACAGCCTCGATCTGTTCTCTGCAGAGCGGGCACACTGTTTGCATCTCTGCCCAGCGTATAATGCAGCCCAGGCAGAACTGATGGAGACAGGGTATCACATAAGTGAGGTCATCTCGAGTGTCGCGGCAGATGGGACAGCTGCACTTTGTTTCTGTGGCCCTGTCCGTGCCTTGTGGCAGTTTGGGTCCAGTTAAGAATGAGAAGATGCTCCCCATTGCTGGCACTGGCGCTGGCACTCCCAAAAGTTATCACAC